CACCTTGACTTCCTCTCCATATGAAAAATCTATGACTACATTTTTCAGTCCCTCTTTTTTGTTTTAATGTTGTCATCTTTTACATATTGATGTCTCTGTTTCCCTATTTTCACCATTTTAGCTTTGATTTATTTTTGTGACTTCCTTGTCCGGGTTGATACCTGGTTGCTGTGTCCTGTGTTCTAGCCTTGGGTTGTTATCTGATGTTACTGATTTTCTAACCAGAGGAGAATTGACATTTCAAACAAGTTCCCAGATGATGATCATGCTGATCCAGGGACAATACCTTTGGAACCACTGCTTTTGAGGAAAAAGAGAAAAAGAAAAAGTTTCCTTGTTAATGTCTATTTACTTTTTCAAGTCCCCTTATTAATGTAAGTAATGTAAGTGATTTTAGATTTCCAAATTCGCCCACAAAACAGTTTTATCCAATATCATAGGATAGCTGCATACCCATTGCAGCAGTATGAAAAAGATTTTTCCTTGCAGAAGTATTATAGTGCATATTTAGTGCTAGATACTGTCGCTAGGAGTTGGAATCGCCTCCATGGCAATGGTTTTGCTTTGTTTTATTTTTTACTGTGGTATAGACTTTAAAATGTAAAAGGAAAAAAATTAAAACTCAAGGGGGCCATCTTGTGGTGACCATAGCAATTCATAAAAAACTTTAAAAATTTAACCAGTGTGTAAGGAACCAAATCTGTGGTGGGAAATCATATTTTCTGATACATGCTGTGCTATGAAACCTGGAAAAATACTTGCAGACTACTAGTTATATGTTGGACACCTGGTGGTGTAGTGGTTAAGAGCTCAGCTGCTAACCAAAAGGTCCGCAGTTCAAATCCATCAGCTGCTCCTTGGAAACCCTATGGGGCAGTTCTGCTCTGTCTTACAGGATCGCTGTGAGTCGGAACCAACTCAACGGCACCCAGCACCAATACAACAACAATTATATGTTGTACTTAGTTTTGTGTTTGTTTGTTTTTTTTACTTAGTCTTTGTCTTTGGAAAATTGCTTTCCCACAGCAGAGCTATCACTCTTTTACTGTGTCTTTAAAAACCCGTTGCTGTCGAGTTAATTCTGACTCACAGCGATCCTATAGGACAGAGTAGAACTGCTCCATTGGGTCTCCAAGGAGCGGCTGATGGATTCCAACTGTAAGTCTTTTGGTTAGCAACCGTAGCTCACCATAGTTCTTAACCACTGTGCTGCCAGGGCTCCACTGTGTCTTCAGTGGCAGATAATTTGATCATACCTCTGTTTCTGTCTGTAGTTAGGTAGTTTTGGAACTCTTATTCCTCTTTCCAGTGTATAGTTTGTGTCGAAAAATTATATTTCATGCTTATATGTCTCATTAGGGTAGAATATTTTTTGTCGTTTTTTATTTTAGATGGTATAAGTAGTTGAGTAACCACTGAGTATTTGCTGGACCTGACTGGTTTATAACTTCAGAAGAAACAATGGAAAGCCAAGAATTTATTGTAAGTTTTTACCTGTTTTCACTATTTCCTTTCCTTCCTTCTTTCACTCCTTCCTTTCTATTATTTCCTCCTTCCTTCCTTCCATTTCACAAATGTCTTGTTAGTGTTGCCAGATTTAGCAAAAACAATCAAGAGGCAAAAAACAGGATGCCCAGTTAAATTTTTTTTATTATTACCATTTTTAATTTTATTGTGTCGTAGGTGAAAGTTTATAGCGCAAATTAGTTTTTCATTAAAAAATTTATACACATATTGTTTTGTGACATTGGTTGCATTCCCAGCAATGTGTCAGCACTCCTCCCCTTTGCCTTTCCACCCTGGGTTCTCCATGTCCATTCATCCAGTTTTCCTGTCTTCTCATCTTTGCTTTTGGGCAGGTGTTGCTCATTTGGTCTCGTATACTTGATTGAACTAAGAAGCACATTCCTCACGGGTGTTATTGTTAGTTTTATTAAAAAAAAAACAACCCAAACCCATATAAAAAAACCAAACTCATTGCCGTCGAGTCGATTCTGACTCATAGCGACCCTACAGGACAGGGGGTAGAACTGCCCCATAGGATTTCCAAGGAGTGCCTGGTGGATTCAAACTGTCTACCTTTTGGTTAGCAGCTGTAGTGCTTAACCACTATGCTATCAGGATTTCCTGTTAGTTTTATAGGCCTGTTTAATCCTTGGCTGAAAGGTGGACTTTAGGAGTAGCTTCACTATTGAGTTAGCTGGCTGTCCGGAGACCATAGTCTTATGGGTTCCTCCAGTCTCTTTCAAACCAGTCAGTCTGGTCTTCTTTTTTATTAATTTGAATTTTGTTCTACATTCTTCTGCTCTGTCCAGGACTCTTATTGTGATCCTTGTCAGAGCAGTGGTGTTGGTAGCTGAGCTCTGGGCTCAGGCTGGTGGAGTCTGTAGTTCATATGATCCATTAGTCCTTTGGACTAATATTTTCATTGTGTCTTTGGTTTTCTTCATTCTTTGCTCCAAATGTGATGGGACCAGTAGATGTATCTTAGATGGCTGCTCGAAAGCTATTAAGACCCCAGACACTACTCACCAAAGTAGGATATAGAACGTTTTCTTTATGAGCTGTTATGCCCATTGACCTAGATATCCCCCGACACCATGGTCCTCAGCCTTAAGACCCAGTAACTCCATCCCTCAAGGTGTTTGGATATGCCAAAGAAGCTTCTATGACTTTGCCTTGTTCAGGTTGTGCTGACTTCCCGTATATGGTGTGTTGTCTTTCCCTTCACCAAAATTAACACTTGTCTACTATATGGTTATCGATTTCCCCTCCCCACCCCGTCCCTCCCTTGTTAAATTTGAATGTCAGATAAACAATGAATTATTTTTAGAGTAAGTTTGTTCCATTCAATATTTGGGACATAAAACCCATTGCTGTTGAGTCGATTCTGACTCATAGTGACCCTAAAAGACAGCAGAACTGCCCCATAGGGTTTCCAAGGCTGTAAATGTTTATGGAAGCAGACTGTCACATTTTTCTCCCACAGAGTGGCTGGTGGGTTGCAACTGCTGACCTTATGGTTAGCAGCCAAACGCTTAACCACTGCACTACTAGGGGTCCTTAGTATAAGTATGTTGCAAATAACAGGAGCCCTGGTGGTAGAGTGGGTAGGAGCTCGGCTGCTAACCAAAAGGTCGGCAGTTTGAATCCACCAGCCACTCCTTGGAATCGACTCAATGGTAGTGGGGTTTTATCTTTGGCCTAGTATTCATGTTTGTTATTCAAAGTCCTTTGTAATAAATTCTTTGGAAACTTGGGACCAGAGAACAATTTTCTTTCTCTTGAAGAATTGGCATGTCTCTTATATCTGGATCAATGGTTCTCAAACTCTTTGGTCTCAGGACCCTTTTACATGCTTAAAAATTATTGAGGGCCCCAAAGGGCTTTTGTTTATGGGGATTATATCTACAGATGTTTTTCCTGTTAGAAATTAAAACATTTTAAATATATTTATTAATTCATTAAAAATAACAATGATAAACCGATTACATGTTAACATAAATAACATTTTACGAAAAACAGTTATATTTTCCAAAACAACAAATACCACAACAAAAAATATTGAGAAGAAGAGCATGGTTTTATGTTTTTGCAAATCTCTTTAACATTTGGCTTAATAGAAGACACCTAGATTCTCATATCTGCTTCTTTATCAATTATTATAATATTAGACATGACATAACCTCTGGAAAACTCCACTGTATGTGCCTGAAACAATGAGAGTGAAAATGCAAGTAATGTCTCAGTATTATTGTGAAAATAATTTTCACTTCACGAATCCCTGAAACCATCCTGGGAACCTCCAGGAGTCTCTGAACCACACTTTGAGAACTGCATGGATCATGGGTACTGTGTAACCCCATACGCTTTTCCTTTCCTACCAATGGCTAGCAAGCTCAGAATTACTTTTGGTGCTCCGTTAACTTTTCAGTTTCTTCCTTAGATATATACCTCCCCTTCTCTCTTCCCCCCACCTTTTACTACCTAATGTTTTTCTTATTTTTTTTTAAAAATTAATGTTTTATTGTTATTGTTCTCATGGTATCTCTGCTTTTATTTCAATGAAAGATGTCTTAAATATTTTTTTTATGTAGGAAGGATGTATAAAATGCATAACTTTGAATACATATAAATTGAAACCATTTCTTTTGTACTTTTGGAAATAAGGTACTTTATACTCATCAGAAGATAAAGAAGTCAAAAGTATGGCAAGATGGAATCCTGAAGATCACCCACTTAGGAAACAAGGTAAGAGCAAAGCCATCGGTTACAGACTCCAAGAGCTAGGTTCTTAATAGATTCATATTAAGAAAATTCTGTAGATGATAAAATGTCAGATATCATCGTACACTGACTTGATGTGGAAATAGATATTGTCAAATGATTCTAACATTACAGTGGTTAATTTGTGCATAATAAAAATTCAGTGTTTTGAAATTTGTTTTGATTTCAACAATTCTTATAAAGTGCTTACTATAAGCCAGTCGTAATGCTTTGATTTAATCTACATAGCTCTCCTATCATTGTTATTGTTAGTTGCCATTGAATCAAATCCAACTCATGGTGCCGTATGTAAAACAGCAAAATATTGCCCAGTCCTGTGCCATATTCATGACTGTTGATATGTTTGAATCCATTGTTGTGGTTATTGTGTCACTCCATCTCATTGAGGGTTTCCCTCATTTTCGCTGACCCTCCACTTTACTAAACATGACGTCCTTTTCTAACAGCTGGTCTTTCCTGATGACATGTCCAAAGTAAATGAGCCAAAGTCTCACCATCCTTACTTCTAAGGGGCATTCTGGTTGTATTTCTCCTAAGACTGATTTGTTTATTCTTCTGGCAGTCCAGGGTATATTCAGTATTCTTCCCTAACACCACAGTTTCAATGTATTAATTCCTCTTCTTTTTCTTTTTCTTTGTGAGGCTTTTACATGCCTTTGAGATGATTGAAAAGACCATGGCTTGGATCAGGCGCACCTTAGTCATCAAAGTGACATTTTTTAAAACTTTGAAGAGGTCTTTTGCAACAGATTTGTTCATTGCAATACATCGTTTGATTTCTTGACTGCTGCTTCCATAGACATTGATTGTTACTCCACAAAGAATGAAACTGTTGACAACTTAAATTTTTTCTCCATTTATTATGATGTTGTGTATTATATTCTTTTTACTGATAATGAAGGTAAGGCACAGAAAGATGAAGTAGCTTGCCCCAGCATCTCACAGCTAGTAAGTGGAGGAGTCGTATGTGAACCTAGGTTTTTGGACTCCAAAGCCTACCTTCTAACCATTCTGCTGCCTCTCTTAATTATATAGGACACGTCGATGAGATCTGTGGTCTCCTGAAGGAAGTCCATACTGCTCTACCTAGCAGTTAAAGATCTCCATATTCTGCCCTCATTCTACCTGTCATTGTGGGGTTATTAGTATCCCTGAGGGAAGCTTTTTAATATAGAAAAGGCTATTTACTATTATTTTTTTTTAAAGTAGTATTTAATTTATTAAAATTGCAAATAAAAAAATTCTAGTTTTGCCTTAAGCCTTCAGGTTAACTTACAAATCCTATTGAACTTATAAACTTAGTTAAGTTTAATAATCACTCTCAGTGGGGTCTTTGCTGAATGTTCAGTCAGCTGAAGTTGAACAAACTAAATGGTTTAAATAGTCTTTTAACAAACATAAATTACCTTAAATATTTTATATTAAAAATTCTAAACATTTTAGTTGCCTCTAACAAGCAAAACTTGTCCAAGTACTTAAGCCCCTCTTAATTCTAATCAACTAAACTTGTAAATATAGTTAATATTAGGGCATTTTAAGTATTCTAGTATTATTTATAAACCTAGTAAAATTCACTTATCCCTTTGTTTCAGTGAAAAAGTTGCATATCCAAAATGAATTTCTCAATTACACTTTTTAAATTGGAATCATGAGGCTAATCTGTTAGATAATTTTAAAGTGTAAATTGTCTAAAACTGTACAAATACCTTTTAAAATTAAAAATAACTTAAAATTAAAAATAACACAGATATTTTAAATATCAGATATTCACTGATTACGTAACTACTAAAACCCATTTATGATCTTAATTTAAAAGTGGATGGAAGTATGAAACAGTTTTAAACATTTGAGGAACTGTAAGTAATTAAGTATGGCTAGAACGAAGGGCCCATGTTGAGAAATGGTAGACTGTAAAGCTGAAGAGGTAGACAGGAGCCATTATCATGAAGGACTGTGTGTTCAACCTGAGGAGCCATTGGAGAATTATGAGCAGAAGAGTAACATCACGATATTTGTGTTTTAGAAAGATCACTTTGCCAGCAATGTGAAAGTTAAGATGAAAGTCAGATTGGATTTAGGAAGACTGTTGTAGTAAAGAGGGTATAGAATAATCTAGACAAAAGATGGTCTCACCAAGCAGGTATTAGCAATGACAATAGAGGGAAGGGATTAGGGAGAAGTTATGAAAATACAGAAATCTTCAGGTCTGGATATGGAAGGTAAGAGGAGAATCCAGAATGACTTTTAGGTTTCTGTATTATGATTACGGTACTGAAATAGGATATCTCAAAAAGATAAGCAAGTTAAGAGGAAAGGATGAATATTTTATATTTTGAGTTCCATTTTGAATATGCTGAATTTGAAGTGCCATAGAAACACTCAAGTAATTGCCTATATGGACCAGGAACTCAGCAAAGAGTTTTGGCTACAATATAGATTGGCATTCCCTGGCATTTAGATGATATTTGAAGCTATTCAAGTGAATTCATTCATTCATTTAGTCAACAAATATTTTTTGAGCACCTATTATGAGTTAGGCACTGTTCTAGGGGATGCAGCAGAGAACAAAACAGACAAATCCCTAATTTCATGGAAATCACATGGGGGAGACAGACTAAATGACTATGTATGTTTAGTGGGTTAGACAACCAGCAAGGAGTTCATTGTAGCTGTACTAGACTGAACAAGGGCAAGAATGGTAGAAGATAGTGATAGAGAGTTAATGGGAGCTCAGATTGTATAGCATTATTGGCCATTCTTAGGACTTTTGCTCTTAGGGAGCCATGGAGACATAGGAAGGATTTGAGCAGAAATGTGTCATCATCTGATGTGTATAGATGATATCACTCAGAGGAAGAATAGAATGAAAGGAATAGATGAACAAGGATAGAGCCCTTGGAAATATTAATTTTTTTAGCAGCATTATTGAGATATAACTCACATACTGTATAATTCATCCATTTAAAGTATACAATTCAGTGATTCTTGGTATACTCACAGAGTTGTGCAACCATCACCACAGTCTAATTTGAGAATGTTTTGTCATGCCAAAAAGAGACCTCAACCCCGTTAACAAGTCACTGCCCTATTAACCATGGAGTCCCCGGGTGGCGCACATAGTTAAGCACTTGACTACTAACTGACAAGCTGGCAGTTCAAACCCACCAAGAGGCACCTTGGAAGAAAGGTAATCTGCCTCTGAAAACCCTATGGGGTACCGTTCTGCTCTGCGACACATAGGGTTGCCATGAGTTGGAATCTACTTGACAGCAACTGGTTTGCTGTTTTTGGTTACCCATTACCCACCCTCACCCCCCCCAGTCCTAAGCAACCACTAATTCATTTTCTATCTGTATAGGTTTGCCTGTTCTGGACATTTCTTATGAATGGAGTCATACAATATAGAGTCTTTCGTGAACAGCTTCTTTTATTTAGCATAGTATTTTCAGGGTTCATCCATGTTGTAACTTGTTTCCTTTTTTTTTTTTTTTTAACTTCATTCATTTTTGTTGGATGCCGTTGAGTCGATTCTGACTCATAGTGACTCCATGTGACAGAGTAGATCTCCCCCATAGGATTTTCTTGGCTGTAATCTTTATGGAAGCAGATCACCAGATCTTTCACCTACAGAGCTGCTGCATAGGTTCAAACCACCAACTTTTTGGTTAGCAGCCAAGTGATTAACTGTAGTGCCACCAGGGCTCCTTCATTCATTTTTACTGCTGACTAATATTCCATTGTATAGGCAGACCACATTTTATTTGTCCATTCATCAGTTGGTGTACATTGGGTTGTTTCCACCTTTTGACTAATACTGAATAATGCTGCTGTGAATATTCATGTACAAATTTTTGCATGGGCATGTTTTCATTTCTCTTGGGAATATGTCTAGTAGTAAAATTGCTGGGTCATATGGTATCTCTATGTTTAACCTTTTGTGGAATTGCCAGAATGTTTTCCAAAGTGGCAGAAACACCAATATTTAAGAGGCAAGTGGAAAAACTGCCATGAAAGATGGCTAGAGCCATAAAGGGAAAGCCAGAAACATGGTAGTCACCTTAGCTCCTTTTTTCTCCCTTACCCCTCCCATTCAGTCGGTCAGTAAGTGTTATCCATTATACCTCATAAGCAATTGTCTTATCCCCAGTGCTGATGTTTTATTTCAAGCACTTATCTCCGTGATTCTCCCACCCTTCACCATTGCAGTGATCTCTTAACTGATCTTGTCTCCCGTTTTGCTCCCCTCTAATGCATTCTAAGGAGCCCTGATGGTGCAGTGGTTAAAGCACTTGGCCGCTAACCAAAGGTCAGCAGTTGGAACCCACCAGCTGCTCTGCAGGAGAAAGATGTGGCAGTCTGCTTCCATAAAGATTTATAGCTTTGGAAACCCTGTGGGGACAGTTCAGCCCGTCCTTTAGGGTCTCTATGAGTTAGAACTGACTCAGCAGCAGTGGGTTGGGTTAATACATTCCAGGAGCCCTGGTGGTGAAATGGTTAAGCACTTGGCTTCTAACCAGAAGATTGGTGGTTTGAACCAACTCAGTGACTCTGGGGGAAAGACCTGGTGATCAGTTTCCATAAAGATTACAGCAGTTCTATTCTGCCACATGTGGTTGCTGTGAGTTGGTGTCACCTAACAACAATGCATTCCACTTCTGTTATCTTCCCAAATCTATTCCAAGATCCTCATGGCAGGAATTACATTCTTGAATTTTTTATGTGTATGCCTTTACTCTCTTGCACTGAGTAGCTGCTGAATAGATATTTGAAATGGATGCACTTTCAAATCCAAGTTAAACAAAAATGGGTAATCCTTTTATTATATGATTTACTTGTATAATAATTTTTTATTTGCTACTGAAGAGGTTTAAGAAAAGTAGAATTATGTTCTATTCCTTTTTAACATTCATTTTGTTTTAATATAGGCAATTTTATATGATGACAAAGGAGATTGTCTGGACAGCATATTTCTTAAGCACCTTGAGGTATTTTAATGTGGTTGTCTTATTTTAAAATTATTGTTTTAAAAAACTTCTTAAATACTTCCTTTATGAACGTTGTTATTAAAAGGTATAGTCATAGTACTAATATTAATAATTATAGCTAGTGTTTTTTGAGCATTTATTATTGGCCAGATTCTATGCTAAAAGCTTTTAGATATTGTTTTGTTTAGTTCTTACAACAACTCTGTGATATTTATAGATTAGGAGTGCAGTGCAGAAAGGTTAAGTAACTTGCCTACATTCATAGAGTTCTTGTGGTAGGACTGGGATTCAAACCTAAGAAGTCCAGCTCTACTACATGGCATTGATAGGCAGATATCTATAATTACATCTATAATTTTTAAAATTATTCCATTTAAATATTTTCTCAAATATTTATTGTTTGCCCCCATTGGGAAAAAGGGAGGAGGGTGTGGAATTAAAGGCATATTTTAGTATAATATAAGGATGTTAGAGTTAGTGTGGCCTGGGTTCATTCTCCATCTTCATACACTTCCTAGTTAACCTAATCTCTCTGTCTAACTTCCCTACTGTAAAATGTGGATCATACACAGTCTTACTGGGTTGGTCTGAAGATCAGAAATATATTATGTAAACTGCCTAGCAATTTAGTACAGTGATTCTAAACGTGTTAAAATATATATTCTTATTACCATTGTGTTGATTTTTGTCTGTGGTATTCAATTCATTTTGAAATTTTACATGACATTAGTAGTGGAGTGGTATTTTTGGCGCCCTCGTGGCGCAGTGGTTAAGCGCTCCACTGCTAACCAAAAGGTTTGAATCTACCAGCCACTCCTTGGAAACCCTCTGGGACAGTTCTACTCTGTCCTGTAGGGTTGCTATGAGTCGGAATTGACTCAGTGACAACAGGTTTGGGTGTTTTTTTGTTTGTTGTGTTTTGTTTTTTTGTGGCATTTTTACATTTATCAATAGAGTGTCTAGGAGAGGCACTGCCTTTGTTGGTGCTTATTTGATGGTAACTACTGTTGCTGTTATTTTATCTTGTAAATCATTTCATTAGTAAAAAATTAATCTGATACAGATTCTGTGTATTATCAAACTAGGTTGATAATTTTATTTTTATGCTGCAATCAGATGGTAGCTAGTGCTATATTTTATTCATTAAAATGCTTTCTGGAATATGTTTAAGTAACTGCAATAATTTATATTAATATTGAACTTAGAATAATTATGAGTGTGTATCTAATTCAGGTCCATTTATAAAGGTATATAATTAATATTTAATAGCTTTCATTTATTAAAAAAAAATTGCATTTATTTGTATGGATCCTAAGTGAACTCCTTGAAAATGCATTTTTTTCTTGCTCGTCTTTGTGTCCCCAGCATGTAACAAAGGGCCTCACATAGACCCCCTGTATGTATTGCTTAATGAACAAATTAATGGATTCTTTTTTGTTGTGTTATTATCTGTATTATTATTTTTATGCTTGTTGATAAATAACCAGTGCATAATAACATATTAATTAAGCCATTTATTGATTCATTCAGCAACTATTTATTGATTGTGTATCTTGTTCTGTGTTAGTATGGTGTGCTTACTTGGGCACATAGATAATCAAATAATTAGATGTACATGATGTTGACATTTATTCTTAGGTGAAACCTGGAGATGACTTAGAAAGTGATCGATACTTAATCACAGTTGAGGAGGTTAAAGTTGCTGGAAGCATAGCTCCTAAGCAGAATGTCATTAAAGAAGCAGCCGAGTTAAATTCAAGGAGGTTTATCTCTTCGGGCCAGTCCCTTGGATGTCAGCCTTCTGGTTTAAAAAGGAAGTTTCCTGTAAGTTTCTCTTTTGAGAATAATAAATCAACATATATTTATGAAATCATTTCAGGAAGCAGTGATTTTGAAGCTATTGCACTCTTAATTATTACTTTATCTTAGACAAAGGACATACTTTTTTTTTTGCCAGTTCATTAAATATTCTCTGTATAGGTACTGCTATTTACCTATTAATAGGTAATTATTTTAATTGTTTCAATATTTTTAGGGCTTTCAATTGCCACGTCAAGTGCCAAAGAAAATGGTTGCTACAGAAAATGGTCAACCAGCTGCATCGCTTGAGGCTGAGAAGTCTGGTCCAACTTTTCTTTCTCCATTCTATAGCACATCTCCTTTGTTTTCTACTGCTGGCAAGAAAGATATAAAAAATACACCAACAGACCCTGAGAACATTGTTGCTTACAAGAACAGAGAGAGAAATGACATGCCTTCTTCAATTGTCTCTACTCCATCCTTTAAGGTTAACCCAGAAGTGCTATCTAGTGAGAATTACTTTTGCTCTCCTGTCAACTCCGTAAGTGAGCACTCAGACTCTTTACTGGCAAATAAGCCCATGAAAAGAGATAGTTTGGCATCTCACTGTTTAGGAATTTCACAAAACATCAGGAGCAAATCACAGATAGTAGCTCTTCTAAAGTCCAAATCAACTAGTACATATAAAGAACAAAATTCTGAGATTACAGAATATTTTCCACAGATACATCCACAAGAAAGTATGACAATTCCTACTAAATCAAGGTGCTTAGTTCAACAAGAAAAGTGTGCTGAGGTGAAGAGCACAGAACGTTTACACTACCAGCATCAGTCAGAAAATACTGTAAGAAATAAAAGCCGATGGGCCATGTATTTATCCTCACAGAGTTCACCTATACATTCTTCTGATATAGACGGAAGTGATATAGAGAAGAAACCCAAGGTCCAGGGAGATGAAATAAATACAAACACAAAAGACCTTTCGGTACAAAAGAAGGAACATTTCTTTGAAACATATGCTGAAATGGGGGAAAAGTATAATGAAGACAAGCAAGTAGATAATAATGATCCATCCTCCTGGGATCAGGAAATAAATTTTGAAATTCCTCCATCCCGTGAAAGCTTTAGCTTACCAGTTACATATAGCAATGCAGAACATGATGGCTTATTATCAGTACCAGAGGCTCAAGGAAATAATAAAATATCTTTTAATTATAATGACCAAGTATCCATAAAAGGACCAATTCTTATTAGAGAAAATGCTCAGGAGGTAAATGTATGTGGAACATCAGAAAGAGAGTATAAACAACCAGTGTCTTCTCTGCCAGAAGTGGAGCATCTACAAACTGAATCTTCTCTAAGTAACAATTTTAGCATCTCTGATGATATTACAGACATGTTTTCTACAAGTAGTGCTAATAATGAAGGAATTAATAGTATTAATGAACCTATGAGTAATGTAACACAGCCATTTTGGGGAATAACTTTTGATCTGAACAATTTTGAGACCAGTGACACTGAGAAGGAATCACAGGAAAGCAGCAAAATTTCCCAGGATTCAGATCATTTGGTAAAGGAAATTTTGGTTAATAACGACAATTCATGTGTTCAGAAGAGATGTGAGGATATAAGCTGTAAGGAAATTGGCAGTGAACATTTGCCTCTCTTAACGTCTATTGGTGACAAACCTATAAAGCCATTACCTATTAAAGAGACTCTGCCATCACAGTTTAGTGCTAGAACTTGTGTGGAATTTGACAAGGGACCTTATAAAGCTGAAAACACTGGAAAAGAAATAGAGGAGGGCTATAATGACACGTTAAGTAACTCTGACTCATCTTTAGAGTGGACTGATGATATATGTGTAGATTATAATGAGACTGCGAATAAGTCTATCCAAAAACTCAAAACTGTCTATGATTTTGCTTTACTCCCAAATAAATCTAAAGGCATAAAAACAAATTTACATATTCATCAATTTTTAAGCAAGGCCACCAGTCAGACTCCTGGAAACAATAGCCAATTTTCAGAAGACACTCCGCCTCAGCCTTTTATTTTGGGAAGTCACTTGGACAAAAATGAAGAACAGGTTTTATCATTAACCTCTAGTAATGACAACAGTATCCAGCTATTAAATACCAATCAGAATCATTCTGAATATATCGCACTTGGTAAATCAAATACCCAAGTTTCCAATTCTTCGTTTTACCCTCTGGGAAAAGAGCATTCTATTTCCAAAAAACCAGAAGCACATAGTCCTAAGTCTGAAGATTTGGGAAGGATTGAGAGTTCACCCCATGAATGCATTGAGATAGAAAGTGTTGGAGATTGTAAGCAGTATTACAGTAATCCTGGAAATTCTTCAGGACATTCTGGATTAGTAAATAACATTTCCCTGTTAAGATCTCTGTCTGAACACAGTACAGCTTTAGAAAGCTTGGAAATGCTGAAAAAGAAAAATACATCTTCTAAACAAGGAACTCAGCAGACATATGCGCCAGATAGCAGTCCTGAAGGTTAGAATGACATGTCTGTTTTGGATTGTTCTCTTTATAGCTCAAAGGATGAGAAGATACTTGCTTCCAGAAGCTACATTAAAGAAGTATATAGTGTTTAAATAGGTAATACATGTACTTAGTAAAATGAATTTTATTAGGATAATGTAGTAAAAAGTAAGTCTCCTTCCTATCACAGTTCCTTAGTCCACTTCTCATAATTAGTTTTTTGTGTATGCTTTCAGAAATATTCTATGCATATATAAGCCCATATAAATGCACATATATGTGGCTAGATATCTCTTTTTTATCCTTGTAGACTATCTCTTAAGAATAGTAAAATGTCATTTTGAAAATTAGAATTTTATAGGACAACATATTTCCTTTGATATCATTTTGTATAATTTTTTTTAATTGAGGTGAAATTCACATAACAAAATTTACCATTTAAAAGTATACAGTTCAGTCATGTTTAGTGTATTCACAATGTTGTGCAACCACCAGCTCTCTTTAGTCTCAAAATTTTTTCATCACCCCATTAAAACACCTTGTACCCATTAAGTAATTGCTTCCCATTTCCCCTTCCTCCCAGCCCGTGGTAACCTCTAATCTGCTTTCTGTCTCTAGAGTTGCCTATTCTGTATATATCACATAAAAGGAATCATACAATATGTGAACTTTTATGTCTGGCTTCTTTCACTTAGCATAAAGTTTTTAAGGTTCATCCAAGCTGTATCATGTATAAGTACTTCATTCCTTTTTATAGCTGAATAATAGTCCATTGTATGTATATACCACAATTTGCTTACACATTCATCTATTGTTGGACCTTTGAGTTGTTCCTAACTTTTGGCTATTATGAATAGTGCTGCTATAAACATTAACCTATTGCCGATGAGTTGATTCCAACTCATAGTGACCCTATAGGACAGAGTAGAACTGCCCCGTAGGGTCTACCAAGGAGCCATTGGTGGATTCAAACTGCTGACCTTTAGGTTAGCAGCCAAGCTCTTAACCACTGAGCCATCAGGGCTCCACTATAAACATTAGTGTATAAGTTTCTGTGTGGACGTGTTTTCATTTCTCTTGTGCATATATCTTGGAGTAGAATTTCTGGGTCATATGGTAATTCTAGTGGTGTAGTGGTTAAGAGCTACAGCTGCTAACCAAAAGGTCGGCAGTTTGAATCCACCAGGCCCTCCTTGGAAACTATGGGGGCAGTTCTACTATGTCCTATAGGGTCGCTATGAGTTGGAATCGACTCCACGGCAATGGGTTTGTTTTTTTTCGGTTTTTATGGTAATTTGAGGAACTGCCAAAGTTCCTGCATAGCATCTGCATCATTTTACATTTCTACCAGCAGTGTACAAAGGTTCCTATTTCTCCGTATCCTTGTCAACACTTACTATTTTCTGTTTTTTTTTTTTTTTATTACTAGTGGGTGTGTCACCATGAGTAGGAGCCCACTCAAGGCAACTAACAACAACAGTAGCTGTGAGGTGTTGTCTCATTGTGGTTTTGATTTGCATTTCCTTAATGACCAGTGATATTGAACATCTTTTCACGTGCTTGTTGGTCATTTGTATATCTGGAGAAATGTCTATTCCAGTCCTTTGTCAATTTTTAAATTAGGTTATTTGTCTTTTTGTTGTTGAATTTTAAGATTTCTTTATATGTTCTAAATATTAATATCCTTATTAGATGTATGTTTTGCAAATATTTTCTCCCATTTGTTAGGTTGTCTTTTTACATTCTTGAGATTATCCTTTTGTGCAGAAAAGTTTTTAATTTTGATGAAGTCCTACTTAACCTATTTTTTTCTTTTGTTTTTCCTGCTTTTGGTGTCATATCTAAGAATCCTTCCCAAATCCAAGGTCATGAAGATTTACCCCTACGTTCTCATCTAAGACTTTTATGGTTTTAACTCTTATATTTAGGTCATTGATCCATTTTGAGTAAATTTTTATATATGGAGTAAGAGGCAGGTGTCCTCCTTCATTCTTTTGCATGAGGTTATCCAGTTTCCCAGCACCATTTCTTGAAGAGACTGTTGTTTCCCCATTCAGTGATCTTGACACCCTATCAAATAGCAATATCAGTAGCTAAACCAAAAAACCAAACCTGTTGCCATTGAGTCAATTCCGACTCATAGTGACCCTATGGGACAGAGTAGAACTGCCCTATAGGGTTTCCAAGGAGCAGCTGGTGGATTCGAACTGCCGACCTTTCGGTTAGCAGTTGAACGTTTTAACCACTGTGCCACCAAGACTCCAATATCAGTAGATATTTGGATTTATTCCTGGACTCTCAATTCTATTCCATTGGTCTATATGTCTATCCTTATGCCATTACCACACTATTATGATTATTGTAGCTTTGTAGTAAGTTTTGGAACTGGGGAAGTGTGAGTCCTCCTACTTTGTTCTTCTTTTTCAAGATTGTTTTGGTTATTTGGGGGCTCCTTGAAATTCCATATGAATTTGAGGGTTGACTTTTCCGTTTCTGCAAAAAGAGGCTATTGGAACTTTGATAAGGATTGCATTGAAACTAGATTACTTTGGGGAGTATTGCCATCATAACAATATTAAGTCTTCCAATCCATGAACATGAGATGTCTCTCCATTTATTTAGGTCTTTAATTTCTTTCAGCAGAGATTTGTGGTATTGTTTTTCCCCTAAATTTTATTTATTTTGTTGTTGTTGAGAATATAAACAGGAAAACATACACCAATTCAACAGTTTCTACATGTACAATTTATTGTAGTTTAGATGAAGGTTTACAGAGCAAACAAGTTTCTCATTAAACAATTAATACACGTATTGTTTTGTGACATTGGTTGCCAACCCTACAAAATGTCAGCTCTTTCTTCTTCTTGACCTTGGGTTCCCCATTTCTACATGTACAATTTAGTAATGTTGATTACATTCTTTGAGTTGTGAAACCGTTCTCACCCTCCTTTTCTGAGTTGTTCCTCCCTCATTAACCTAAACTTACTGCCTCCTAAGTTTCCCGTCTAATCTTTCAAGTTTCTGTTGTCAGTTTGATCCCATATAGATCTTAAAAGAGCATAATGCTCAAGGAAGACATTTTTTTGCTAGTTAAGCTAAACTAATATTTAGTTTTAAGATGACTTCAGGGGATATTTTTGGTTTAAGATTTAAAGATTATCTCAGGGCAGTAGTTTCAGGGGTTCATCCACCCTCCATGGCTACAGGAAGTCTAGAGTCCTGAGAATTTGAGACTCTTCTGCATTTTCCTCTTTTGATCAGGATTCTTCTGTGGAAGAATCTATTTGATCAAAATGTTCAGTAATGGTAGCCGGGTACTATCCAGTTCTTCTGGTCTCATGGCAAAGGAGGCAGTTGTTCATGGCAGCAATTAGCCACACATTCCATATCCTCCTCCTATTCCTAACTCTCCTTCCTCTGTTGCTCCAGGTCAATAGAGACCAACAGTAGTAACTTGAATGGCTGCTTGTAAGCTTTTGAGACCCCAGGCACTATGCGGTGAACTAGGAGGTAGAACAGAAGCACTAAACACGTTATTAGGCCAATTAACTGGGATGTCCCATGAAACCATTACCCTAAACCAAGGAACCAAATCCCATGAGGTGTTTGGTTATACATAAGCAGCCTCAGCAGCTACTTTTTTTTTTTCTTTCTGTCGTACATATATCTATCTCACAACTTTTGCCGATTCAACTTTTTGTAGGTGTACAACTTATTAACACCAATTACAATAATTGGCTGTGCAACTCTACCCTTAATGTGATTTTTCTATCACTGTTAAGCCTCTTTTTCCCTTCCCCCCATCCCTGGTAACTACTAATAAACTCTGATATCTATAAATTTGCCTTTTCTTGTCTTTTTGTGGAAACCCTGGTGGCATAGTGGTTAAGAGCTATGGCTGCTAACCAAAAGGTCTGCAGTTTGAATCCCCCAGGCAATCCTTGGAAACCCTATGGGGCAGTTCTTCTCTGTCCTATAGGGTCAGTAGGAGTCAGAATTGACTCAACAACAGCGGGGTTTTGGTTTGTCTTTTTATGTAAGTGAGGTCATACTATATTTGTTTTTTTGTGGTTGGCTTATTTCGCTCAGCATAATTTCTTGAAGCTCCATCCATACATGTATGAAGGCTTCATTTCTCCTACTGGCTGAGTAATATTCCATTGTATGTATGTACCACATTTTATTTATCCATTCATCTGTTGATGAGCATTTAGATTATTTCCACCTTTTGGCTATTGTGAATAGTGCTGCAATGAACGCTGGTGTACAGGTCTCAAATTTTTGAGTCTCGGCTCTCAAGTCTTTTGAGTATACGCCTAGGGGTGGCATTACTGGGTCATATGGTAGTTCTATTTTTAGTTTTTAGGAACTGCCACACTGTTTTCCACAACAGCTGTATGATTTTGCATTCTCACCATCAATATAGATAAGGATTCCAATTACCCCACATCCTCACTAACATTTGTTATTTTCTGTTTTTTTATCGTAACCGTCCTCTTGGGAGTGGAATGGTATCTCACTGTGGTTTTGATTTGAATCTCTGTAATGGCTAATGACACTGAGTATCTTTTCATGTGTTTGGTGACCATTTGAATGTCCTCTGGTGAAATGTCTATTCAAGTCCTTTGCCATTTTATGATTGGGTTGTCTTTTTGTTGTTAAGTTGTCAAAGTTTTATATGTATTTTGGTTATTAGATATTTGTCAGATATATGGTTTCTGAAGATATTCTCCCAGTCAGTGGCTTGTCTTTTTCACTTTTTTGGTAAAATCTTTGGATGAACAAAAGTTTTTTAATTTTTATGAGGGCCCATTTATTTATATTCTCTTTTGCTGTTTGTGCTTTTGTTATTGTACTAGTTAATCCGTTGTTGAAAGCTAGGCCTGATAGTGTTACCCCTGCTTGTTCTCAGAGTTTTATGGTTTTAGTTTGCACATTTAGGTCCATAATCCATTTTGAATTTGTTTTTGTGTATTGTGTGAGGCATGGGTCCTATTTCAGTTTTCTGCACT